AGTGGATCCCAAGGACGCTGTTCCCAAACCTTCCGGCCTTTGCTGGCTCCTGCCCCTTTTGTGCTCCATAAAATGGGCCCCTGCCCACTCTTCTTTCTTTCTTTCTTTCTTTCTTTCTTTCTTTCTTTCTTTCTTTCTTTCTTTCTTTCTTTCTTTCTTTCTTTCTTTCTTTCCTTCCTTCCTACCTTCCTTCCTTCCGTGACCTGGGACTAGTGTCCCACGCTGGGTCTGCCCCAGCTTCCGGACTTGTGTCCCACGCTGGGTCTGCCCCAGCTTCCTCCTCCTCCCAGCCTCTCTGGCCTCCCAACGCCCCTTGGGTTAGTCTTGCCCATTGCCACGGTCACCAGGCAGGAGGGAAGGGGTGTCCAGCCTGAAATGGTGGCCCTGTGTGTCCTGGCTCCCTCTCGAGCAGCCTCTGCAGGCGCTCAGGCCTCCCTCCTGGTGCTGGCCGAGGGCGGGTGGAGGCCCAGACCCGGCCGGCTCCCCTGGGACCCTCGCCCTGCCTTGGGTGGCCTGCTCTGGCTGGCCAATCTTCAGTCCACCCCTTCCTCTTTCTGGGCCGTGGGAGGCACCAGGGACAGAAAGGAGCCTGACACAAACGGCAGGGGTCTTGGGCGGCCCCCATCCTGCCAGGGCCAAGGCGCCTCTTCGGACATCAACCAGACAACTCCCTGACAGGCAAACGGCTCAGCACATCTGGGCAACAAAACAAGCAGCTGGGAGGGAGAGGATGGGGGGGGCTTGTCTGGTTTTCTGAGGCTGGAGGGGACAGAACAGCAGCTTTTATAAGTTAATGGGAAAGAGGAGTGTCCTGGGACCCCGGCCACCTCCTTCCTCCCACTGGCAAGGGTGGCACAAGCTGGCTCTCCCACGGGATGGCTGCTTCTTTCCGACTCCAGGCAAGAGGGGCGAGGCACTTGGCCACCTCAAACCCCCCCCCCTTTCTTCTCCATATCCCCAAGTATCTCAGGCCTGGGCGGGGATGGGCACTGCAGTACAGAAGGCCCTGTAAAGCAGAGGAGGAGGGGGAGGGCCCTTGAGGGGGAAGCATGACCTGAGCGGCCCCTTCCACGCAAGATCCCCGGAGGCAGGCCAGTGCTAGCTAGAGGGCGGCAGGCCATAGGAGGGTTTGCTCATCTGCCCGCCTGCAGCCATCTCCACTCAGTGAGGGCACCCGTCGCTGCTCAAGATCAAGGGCGAGGCGCTCTCCTGCCTGACCAGCCAACCCCGCAGCCTCCAAACCAAGGGCTGTGGAAGGTGGCCCTTCCTGGCCCCAGGCCGAAGGCTCCTGCTTCCTCCACGCCCCTGCCATTCCCTTCTCAACTGATCCACTTTGTGCAAATGTAAAGAAAGTGTTATTTATCAGAAGTCACTTGCCTAGACCTGCTTTTCACGGCTACTTCTGTGAACATATCTATAAATATATAAATACGGACTTCTCCGAATGACGAGTGGCCCGCTATTTCCCAACCCACTTCTGCTGACTTGTGTGAAGATGATACCCAACCTCCAACCCCTTTTGATTAAATGTGAAGTGGCTTTATCCAAATGGCTTCGTTCTTGGTTTGTTCTTGCATCGAGTCAGGGCTGCTGTGCCCCCACACCTCCTCCTCATTGCCCCATCCTTGCCAAATCGTCCTCTGGATGAAATCCTGCCTCCGACTCTGGATCCAGAGCAAGAGGGCTGGCCTTCATGCACACCCTTCCCTGCGGAGGCCACTTCCTCTTGGGGGGCCGAAGCCAGGCTGATGGCCCCGGCCCTTTCTGGAGAGAACACTACAAGCTGGGAGAGAGCCTCCGGGGGCCACAGGGATGGGCCGGCTGCAGGCGGACATCTAGCGAGCCACACACAAAGACATTCACCAGGCAAAGCAACGTGCATGAAGGTATTTATTTCCTCCAAGAACCTTCAATGTTCTGGCCTATATTAAGAAATGATGAGATCCCCCTACCTCCCATTTTCATCTCTATTCCTCTTCTCTAATGGGATGTGCTTCGGAAAGATCTCGAACGACCGTGTAATTCACCTTGGATGCAACACACGGGCACTCAGAGGACCCACCCGAGGGGGGCTAGCGGATTCGTGGGAGCGTCATCACCCCATTTTGCCATCAGCTGAGCACCGACATGTGGGGAGCTATTTCAGCCAGATCCATTTGTCTCCAGCATCAGCATTGTAGCCGCGGGCGTACCTGTGCCCAGGAAACTGTAGTAAGCAAAAAGGTTGCAACAGGATTAAGTCAAAACACATCCTTTGACCATCATCTTCCTTTCTGACCAGACCTACCCCAAACACTGGGACCCTTTCCTCTCCTCTCTGCCATCTCGGACTCTGAGAAAGTCCCTGGACCTTCTGCCAAATTCTCAGCTCCCACTCCTGGGTTGGGGCAAGGCAGAGGAGTAAAGAGTGGCAGGTTTAAAACCAGCCTATGTCTGTAGTGCAGAATACGGATCCTCTTTTAAGCACAATCCTAAATGCCCAGCTGCCCCCAAGGTCACATGATGTCACCCCAAACGGCCAGAAACGGGCACTGTGTCAGCACAAAACACCTACCAAAAGTTGCGGAGTCAGATGGCGAACTCACTGACCCCTCCAGGCCACAGGGCTCAAAAACATCATCTGCTCGTTAAAACCTGCTGGTCTTTAAGATGCCACAAGACTCCCTTGTTCCTTTTGGACTACATGGATGACTATGGTGGCTAACTAAGTTTTTATTTCTCTTCCTTTGATTTGATTTTCAAGAAGCCACTGGCTGCAATCTCCAAATAACCTGGAGAAGGCGCTGCCTGCAGCGTAAAGTACAAAGAGCTCCAGCCTCCTTTCAGCCTGGTGGTCCTCAAGCGCACCGGCAGGGCTGCTCACCTCCACAGCCCAAGGAGAGTCAGAGCTCCGTCTGCATGCTAACACCCCGGAACCTCTTACCGACTTCCATGCAAAGTAGATCTGGTCAGCAAGTGTGCCGCTCATGGTGAGCTCCTTGATGTGGAAAGGGAGGGAGGTGGGGATCAGCACTTGCATCTTGTTTTCAACTCTAATGTGTAAAAAACAAACACCCAGTTAGACGCTTCGACCAAGGAAAACTGAGCATCAGTCCTGCAATTCAGACCTCTGCCCTTCCTTGGAAGGAAGAAGGAAAAACAGAACCATAGGCCAAGTCCCTGGTTTACCAGCCACTCAACCAGAAAAGAGGGCAGGCTGCTTCACAGAGAGAGCAGAGCAAACGTCTTCTGTCCGGCCTCTCTCTTTCCGGGTCCTACAACCTTGCTACCTCTTCCTAGTGGGCTGCAAATTCCATCACATCTTCCCCAGGTTGTGCCTCTTCCTAGGGCCTTGCTCATGATGCAGGGCGGGGAGAGAGAAATCAGAGCACCAGATACAGGTATCATGGGGTCCTTATCCAGGCTAAGGAAGCAGAGCCTCTGGATACCAGGACAGGTGCCCAAGAATGGGCGGGGCAAGGGAGGGGAGGGGGCTCCTGCCTCCAAGCCCAGCATCCACCTGCTGGCCACTGGCTAAAGAAGCACAAGAGGACTTCCCACTTTTGACTGTTCCCCCACCCCACTCCTGCCAAGGCTTGATTTCCCAAAATTATGCTGGGGAGGTAGGGCACCGTGACCTTTCCCCTCTCCGAGGAATGCTGTAGCAAGATGTATGTATCTGGGCCAGATTCACCATGGCATTGCACAACCTGCTCCAGCTTAGGTGGGAAAGGGCGTTTGAAAGACAGATCAAAAGGCCACAAAGAAAGCCCAGAGGGCAAAGTTCTCTTTTGCATGGAGTCAGCCAGTATTTCCGTGAAGTGCCTCCAATTTTAAATTGGGGCGGGGGGGCAGGAATCTCAGAGTCCACCTCCACTGAGAGCTGATTGGAAAATCCTGCTGCAGAGCTGGGACAGAATGACCATTGCCTCCTTCTGCAGGACAAACAGAGTAGGTCTGAGCAATTTTGGGGGGGATTTTGGGCACCAAGGGAGTGAGAAACAACAGGGGGTGATTTATAAGGGGTCACTCTTACAACATCCTCAAATCATGAAGACTGCCGTCAGTCTGATCCGGCCACGGCCCCTTTTTAAACTCCAGGAGCTCAATCTCTTCAAGGACCTGTATGGGGGGAAAAAAGGGATAACCTGAACATCTGAAATGCTGGAGGAGGAGGATCAGAGCCTGCCTCCTCCTCAAGAACCCTGCTGGTGCTTTGCAAACACAAAGGACACAGAGAGAGGATTGAGAGAGAGAGAGCAAAGGACACAGCCGAGACCTCTCCATCTGGAGATTTAAAAACAAACCAGTAAGCCAAGAAAAAAACCTTCAATCTTCAATCTGACAAGCCATGCTCTCCCCTGAGTCTTCTTAGCTCCTCTCCTTCACGCATGCCCCAGTTTCAATCTTATGCTTCCTGCCAATGGGCTGTTACTTTCACCCTTTGCCTCATCAGCACAACAGATCCCCCTGCCCCTGCAGTGGGCGAGGGCAGCTGCAGCTACTTACAATTTCCAGATCCTCTGCTCTGCTCGCCGTGTACTGCAGGACCTCAGAGACTTCACTAGAAAGAAAAAACACCAACATGAAGTTGTTTGCTGTATACAACACAAGAAAATCAACTTAAGACTCTACACTGTCTCCTCTTCAGGCTCAGCTCTGCAGGATGGCTGTTTAGGCACCCTAGAAGAAGAGGGCCAGAGAGGTGGGGGAAGCGATTTTGCCTGTACCTGGGGAGGTCCCTGGCTGAACCCGGCACACCTTGGAAATATATGGCCTGCAGTGCAGGATGGAGAAGAATTAGAGAGGTCACAGATCAATAAGACCTATCCAATTCTAACAAAAATAAGGATGATCAGGGGAAGGAGCTGATCCAGAACAGCTGGAAGAGAATGGAGGTCAGAGCAGATGGGCCTCTTGTTTACAACGGAATCACAGACACATCCACACAGTAGACAATCCTATTTAGTCCAACAGAGGTTTTTCTCCAGGAAGTTTACTTAGGGCTTTAAAGAGAAGTCACCTTCTGGAACCTTCAAATCATGGAGTTGAAAGAAAAGAGAATTCTGCTTTTTAATGTCAGTGTTCCAAGACCGACAGCTACTGAGACCCACAGCACCATCATTTAAATTTTACAGCACAGAGGTGTTAAAATACAGATTTTTGTAAAACTTTCCATGTTCACTCTTACTAACCTAATCTGTGGCAAGAAGGACTTCTTATAGACATCTTCAATGCTCTGAAGATAAGCGGGTGATACCTTTTTTTCATACGGCTGAAAAGAAAAAAAAGTTCCTTGGTTACCACCCGATTCAGACACCATTCCTGCGTTAAGGCAATATAAACACAGGAAGGTGAGGCAGAACCTATGAAGAACTGATCATCCTGCCCTCTCAGTGGCAAACCACTTGCCAGCCACATGCCCTGGGCACATCCAGTCCTGCAATTCAGACCTCTGCCCTTCCTTGGAAGGAAGAAGGAAAAACGGAACCATAGGCCAAGTCCCTGGTTTACCAGCCACTCAACCAGAAAAGAGGGCAGGCTGCTTCACAGAGAGAGCAGAGCAAACGTCTTCTGTCCGGCCTCTCTCTTTCCGGGTCCTACAACCTTGCTACCTCTTCCTAGTGGGCTGCAAATTCCATCACATCTTCCCCAGGTTGTGCCTCTTCCTAGGGCCTTGCTCATGATGCAGGGCGGGGAGAGAGAAATCAGAGCACCAGATACAGGTATCATGGGGTCCTTATCCAGGCTAAGGAAGCAGAGCCTCTGGATACCAGGACAGGTGCCCAAGAATGGGCGGGGCAAGGGAGGGGAGGGGGCTCCTGCCTCCAAGCCCAGCATCCACCTGCTGGCCACTGGCTAAAGAAGCACAAGAGGACTTCCCACTTTTGACTGTTCCCCCACCCCACTCCTGCCAAGGCTTGATTTCCCAAAATTATGCTGGGGAGGTAGGGCACCGTGACCTTTCCCCTCTCCGAGGAATGCTGTAGCAAGATGTATGTATCTGGGCCAGATTCACCATGGCATTGCACAACCTGCTCCAGCTTAGGTGGGAAAGGGCGTTTGAAAGACAGATCAAAAGGCCACAAAGAAAGCCCAGAGGGCAAAGTTCTCTTTTGCATGGAGTCAGCCAGTATTTCCGTGAAGTGCCTCCAATTTTAAATTGGGGCGGGGGGGGGGCAGGAATCTCAGAGTACACCTCCACTGAGAGCTGATTGGAAAATCCTGCTGCAGAGCTGGGACAGAATGACCATTGCCTCCTTCTGCAGGACAAACAGAGTAGGTCTGAGCAATTTTGGGGGGGATTTTGGGCACCAAGGGAGTGAGAAACAACAGGGGGTGATTTATAAGGGGTCACTCTTACAACATCCTCAAATCATGAAGACTGCCGTCAGTCTGATCCGGCCACGGCCCCTTTTTAAACTCCAGGAGCTCAATCTCTTCAAGGACCTGTATGGGGGGAAAAAAGGGATAACCTGAACATCTGAAATACTGGAGGAGGAGGATCAGAGCCTGCCTCCTCCTCAAGAACCCTGCTGGTGCTTTGCAAACACAAAGGACACAGAGAGAGGATTGAGAGAGAGAGAGCAAAGGACACAGCCGAGACCTCTCCATCTGGAGATTTAAAAACAAACCAGTAAGCCAAGAAAAAAACCTTCAATCTTCAATCTGACAAGCCATGCTCTCCCCTGAGTCTTCTTAGCTCCTCTCCTTCACGCATGCCCCAATTTCAATCTTATGCTTCCTGCCAATGGGCTGTTACTTTCACCCTTTGCCTCATCAGCACAACAGATCCCCCTGCCCCTGCAGTGGGCGAGGGCAGCTGCAGCTACTTACAATTTCCAGATCCTCTGCTCTGCTCGCCGTGTACTGCAGGACCTCAGAGACTTCACTAGAAAGAAAAAACACCAACATGAAGTTGTTTGCTGTATACAACACAAGAAAATCAACTTAAGACTCTACACTGTCTCCTCTTCAGGCTCAGCTCTGCAGGATGGCTGTTTAGGCACCCTAGAAGAAGAGGGCCAGAGAGGTGGGGGAAGCGATTTTGCCTGTACCTGGGGAGGTCCCTGGCTGAACCCGGCACACCTTGGAAATATATGGCCTGCAGTGCAGGATGGAGAAGAATTAGAGAGGTCACAGATCAATAAGACCTATCCAATTCTAACAAAAATAAGGATGATCAGGAGAAGGAGCTGATCCAGAACAGCTGGAAGAGAATGGAGGTCAGAGCAGATGGGCCTCTTGTTTACAACGGAATCACAGACACATCCACACAGTAGACAATCCTATTTAGTCCAACAGAGGTTTTTCTCCAGGAAGTTTACTTAGGGCTTTAAAGAGAAGTCACCTTCTGGAACCTTCAAATCATGGAGTTGAAAGAAAAGAGAAGTTCTGCTTTTTAATGTCAGTGTTCCAAGACCGACAGCTACTGAGACCCACAGCACCATCATTTAAATTTTACAGCACAGAGGTGTTAAAATACAGATTTTTGTAAAACTTTCCATGTTCACTCTTACTAACCTAATCTGTGGCAAGAAGGACTTCTTATAGACATCTTCAATGCTCTGAAGATAAGCGGGTGATACCTTTTTTTCATACGGCTGAAAAGAAAAAAAAGTTCCTTGGTTACCACCCGATTCAGACACCATTCCTGCGTTAAGGCAATATAAACACAGGAAGGTGAGGCAGAACCTATGAAGAACTGATCATCCTGCCCTCTCAGTGGCAAACCACTTGCCAGCCACATGCCCTGGGCACATCGTGGGGACCTCAGCCTGAAGAAGGTCCACCTTGTTGGCATCGCAGGGTTCTGTTCTCCAGGCCGGGCAACTTGACTGGCCAAGATCCCCCCCGGGTGGAGACCCCTCAGCCTTGCTCAGCCAGAGCTGGTCACCCATCAGTTCTGGAGGATGGTCAGCACAAGCTTTCTCAAGAGCCGATTGGACAGGCCAGGCCAGGGAGAGAAAGAGGAGCCAGCCGGGGAGGTCCTGCCCCCCGAGAGCCCCTGAAAGAATGGGGCCTGGGATGGAAAACAAGGACTCTTCACCACTGAAGTCAAGGCTGAAGACAGAGCCAGCCGCGAGGAGGCTGAGCAGACACGGGAAGGGCCACATCCCGTAAGAGTGGCAGTGCAGCCTCTCCGACAAGAGAGCTGGCGTCTCCCACCCGGAGGAGGCAACGCTCCCTGGGCCAAGAGAGGGGACCAGTTCCTGCCATGAACTCCTCAGCCTTCGCTTACCTCTCCCTTTTCTTCAATCCTCTTCAGGACTTCTGAGACAGGTACGTCAATGTAGAAGACCAAGTGAGGAGGCAAAAAGCGATAAATACTGTACTCCTTGATTTTATTGTAGTGGCTGACACCTGCGGAGAAAGCCGGCAGACCCTGAGGAAGGCTTGGACCAGCTGAAAAGGACTCATGGTCCAGCAAAAGCAAGGAGAACGTTACACGTTCCAGACTGGCCTATCCACACCATATTGTCGTAGCAGCCACACACAGAGACCCTCGGGCATGCCCGCTCCCTTTCACATGGCCTTTGTGGAGTTCGGGATTGCCTCCTGAGGGCCCACCTGCCCCCTCCCCCCACAACTTCAGACGGCAGGAGCTTTATGGAGGAAAAGCTCAAGAATCCTGTGGAAGAATGGAGAGGAAAAGCTCAGCAAGTGGGGAGGCCCATTCTCTCTGGCCAGCTGATCCATTAGAAAACAAAGCACGTGTGTCTTTACTCTGAGGGAAAGCTGGAGGGAGTATTTTCAAAGTACCTCCCTTTGCCCCCAGAACGATACACCGTGTGTGGCTTAACTCAAGCATTAAAGATTTGTTCTTTAATCTTCTGTTGTTCAAGACAGCAGCCTCACTTTCTAAGGAACAGACTGAGATGAGAACGAGAGGCAGTGGGGTGGGCCAGGAAGGGTGCCCCTGTGGGCTAACCAGCGTCTCCTCAGCTGATTCTGGTGCTTAAAAAGAGGTTGGTGAGCAGCCCAGTGGCTCTGCTTCAAGGCCGTCATGGCTGAGCTGTCAGGGTTCCCCCAGAACAGGCCATGCCCTGGTTCTAATCCCAACAAAGCCGTGGAGGTCCTTGGGTGACAAAGAGGCAGCCACTTCCCCACCCCCTCGGCTGCCCCACAGAACTTGGGGGGGGGGGAGAGAATGGCTTTGGCTCCTTGGAGGGAGAAATAAATACAGGGTTCAGAGGCACCTCATGGAGATCAACTCCAGTTCTTCATTGACAGATCGGCCACAATAATGCCAGCTCTCTCCTAATGACAGGCAGCGGCCCTGGCACAGCTGTTCTGATTTAACCAAGTCAACCCATCACCAGCATTCCCCTTTGCCCAGGAAAGGAATCTCTTGCCTCATCCCAAGATTCCAGTGCAAAAGAATCCCAGAGGTGGAAAAGAGGTTCCACAGAAGGCCTTCCCCAGGAAGGGAAAACGCACAGGCTCAGCGGAGGGACCAAACACCCTCTGGCATTACGCAGCCACGCAGGGTATTAATAATAATGCAGAGGGCTCCGTCGGAAAGGCCTCAGCCCTTCACCCAAATCCTTAACATGCTCCTTGCTGGCTGCTAGCACCCCAACACTTCTGTAAAAAAGACTGCTTACATTCCTTGCGGATATAACCTTGCTGAGACATCGCCTCTAAGAAGACAAAGTCACTGAAGGGGGAGCGTTCCAGTATTACTCCTTGCCCTGGAAACAAACAAAGAATTAGAGCCTTAACAGTTCAGGACAAGAAGACACCACTAACTACAGTTTGCCACAGAGGTTACATGGAAGTGTCTGGCTGGTCTTTTACTCGGCCAGCACTTTAAAATATGCCATTACTTTGACTTTGTTATTGTACTCAAAAACAATTTTAAAAATTCACAAGGACCTTCCCCTAGACCCACTTCTGGAATCAGAGGACAGAAAAAAGTGGCGCAGCACAGATCTTTTTGGCTGTCCCTAAGAGACAGAACACCCACCCAACTGAACAGTAAAATATGTGAATCTAGCATAAGCAAAGAAGGTACAGGAAGAAGAAACACACGTTTCTTCAGAAACGCTGTTCATTCCAAAACACCACTAACAGTAAATCTCAAGAAAATGGCATCGCCTGTTATGGCTAATACCTCCCATTTTTCCTCTTTTCCTTGTGATTTTTGTTTGATCATGTATTTGTAAAATGTGTAACCTTGAACAATCAGAGAAACCCAATAAAAATACCTCTCTCTTCCAGTCTTGTTTCCTGCCCACCCACCCGTCATGTGCAAGGTCTGCCAATGCTCTCCTCCTGGAAGAGCACAGGAGAACCCGCTGGTGTGCCTTGAGCTGCCTGGCCACTCAGACCTCTTTAGCCATGAACCTCTCTGACCGTTCGCTCCTACAGACCACACCTCTGGTCTCCCACCCTGCTTTTTCAAAATGTGTGATGAATTTGCTCTACATTCATTCGGAGCCATTACACTTAGGAGGCATCTCCTGCTCCCTGCTCTTTCTCAAGGAGGAGTTTTAGTTGTGGTTTCACATTTGTCTGTCTACAAGCAAAATTCAAGATGCCACCAAACTGAATTACCTGTATTAAAGAGATGTTCCAGAGCATCAGCGTACTGCAGGACGCGGCAGGTAAACAGATAGGCTTGAAGCCGGTAAGCGTTTCCATCTGGATTTTTAGGGTTGTCATAAAAGGCCTCTAGACTACAATTGCCAATAAATGCAGGGTCCAGGCATGTCCCATACCCGCTGACCTTGTCCACGTAATGAAGATCTACTTCCGGGAAGTATCGCAAACCTGGAGAGGGCAAAGGTTTAAAAGAAAGGTCTGGATTCAAGTGGGCACACCTAGAGGGTCAGGGGCCACCTCTCAGGTTTGCCCACAACCTGAGGGATGAACCCATGGAGGGCAAGGCCAAAGGCTACAGACTCTATTTTGTAGGTTTAGGGGTTTTTCTTCCCCTTAATTCCTAGGATTAGGGGTTTTTCTTCCCTTAATCCCTGGCATCTACACAGATCCATTCATTTCATATACACCCCGTATAGATTACTGCAATATACTATACATGGGGCTGCCTTTGAAGATGGTCCGGCGACTGCAACTGAGCCTGGGTTTTTCAGGTCATTCCCAGGAGTTATAGGGGTCATTGACCACAACAGGAGCAGCCAGCAGCCCGTGCCAAACCCGTTCCCAATAACAAGGGAAGGAAAAAAGAGGAGGTGCCGGTTTCCTCACAAATCAGGTATCAAGCAGACTGGAAACAGACGCCTCAAACAGCAGGACAGTCTTGCTCTTGCTCACCTCAGGACCCTCGCTGACCCCGCCGCACAAGGGTTTAGCCACGCTGGCTCAGCCCGGAAGGTCACGGGCGCACAGACCCTGTTTACCTACCCAGCTGCTCTGCGATCTGCTGTGCAAATTTGCCTTTGTTGACACACAGGTTGCCATCCACGGTAAAGACTTTGCTGTATTTGGTGAACCGCTTGGTAGCCCAGTCTCCCAGCAGGAAAGACAGCCAGCTATACTTCCTGATGGGGCTGGTGTGGAACCTGGCCTGGAAGGAGACAAAAAAGGGCCTCTTGTCAAAGGAACATCGCGTTGCCTGAAAGGGGCGACTTCCCGTAAGGAGAACAGCCCCGACCTCGGCCGCCTTCCACAAGTCCCTTTGCCGGCAGAGAAGGCAGGCAGACGCCATCTCGCCGGGCATCGCCGGAGCAACGAGGGCTCCGCGCGGGCAGCCCAGCGGGGGTCCCTGGGGGGAGGGGGAGGAGGAGGAGGGTGACCTTGGCGGGGGAGAGCCGGAGAGCCAGGCCGCTCGCTAGCCGGGAGCTGTCCTTCCTTCCTTCCTTCCTTCCCTCCCTCCGCCTGTCCCACCCGGCAGGGCTGTCGTGAGGCCCAGGGCGGGAGGGCCCGAGGAGGCCCCTCCTGCAAAGAG